GGGGAGGGGGAGGGGACGGGCAGTCTTGTGCTGGAATTGCACCAGCCCAGGAGTGGTGTAATGGAATTGAAGGTTGATGGAACAAAATATGGCGAGCTGTGCAGGCCCACCCGATTTGCTTGCCGAGTGCCGCCCGTGCCGCCCGCGCCGCCCCAGTCATTAGAAGGGGCAGAGATTGTGGCACCGCAAGGCTGCGCGAGGCGCCCGGTTACACGCCAAACAAATTAATTATCCTTTTTAATTCGATTATGCTCGCTCGCTGGAGGTCAATTAGTGACGTCACGGTGGGCCCGCCGCCAAGGGCCCCGCCCCGTGTGTTTGTGTTTGAGTCTTTACCGGCAGCGCCTCTTGAGGGGCGGTTTGCATTTACAATTATTCTTTCCCTCTCTCTGTCTCTCTCTCTCTCTCTCTCTCTCTCGTGCGCCGCCGGCGTTGTTCCTTTTTTCGCTTTTATTTCTTTTCTCCTTATTATTGTGGCCTCTCTCTCTCTCGCTCCGCCTTTTGCCCGGCGCCTTAATAAGTTAGACCCTCTGCACAACTAGAATGCATTAAAATGACCCGCCGCCGCCGCTGCCGCCGCCGAGTCCCAGGGGGTAATTTATTTTTCATTTCGGAAAGGGATGAGAGGGGGGCTGGGGGGCGAAGGGGGCGGGCGAGCATTCATTTCCTTGTTGTTCCGCGCGCTGCGCACGGGACCGTGGAAACCAATCAATGATTCAGTTTGGAAGCGCCGCGGCCCGCGAGTCAGCATGGCAGTGCAGTGCCAGGCAATCGATGGGGAAATCTTGCCGCGCAAAGCCCCCCGAACAGCGGCTCGATGCTCCAGAGAGAGAGAGAGAGAGAGAGAGAGAGAGAGAGAGAGAGAGAGAGAGAGAGAGAGAGAGAGAGAGAGAGAGAGAGAGGTGCGTGGATCCGAGCGAGGCGAAGGGGGTTATGTGAGCCTACGAACGCCACCCAGTGGTATTGGTTGGCCCGGAGTGTGTTGGTGACTGTCGCTACGTGCGTTTCTGGATCTACCACAGGGGGAGAGAGAGAGAGAGGGGGGGGGATCGAGCCATTGATTTGTCGAGCTGGTCGGTCGGGCCGCGCGGATGCGGGGACGAATTAACATAAAACAATAATGGCAAAGAATGGCGCTCGGGGGAGTCGTTTACGTGAGTGCATATGGCGGTGAAACGTTACTTATCAAAACTTGGTCCGAGTCCCCCCTTCCCCCTCCCCTGTCCGTGGCGCTACCAGGCGCTACGTGGCGCCTCCCCGGGGACGCCGATGCAGAGGAGAAGCAGGCCGGGGCCTTGGCTGGGGCTGCACAGCGTGGCACAGCGTGCCGCGCCAAGAGCGGGTCCGCGTTGTTAATTTGAATTAGTACAAGCCCTTGATGGTGTCGCGGCTCGCGGCACCAACACCGCGGCCAAGTCTCGCGAGTGCGAGTGCGCGGGCGTCGTGCGCGACAGAGACGCAACGAGACTTGCCTGTGACACGCATGTGACACGCGGTGGGCGAGGAGCGGGACAAGCGGAGGAAACATCGCAGCCTATCTCACGCCGCGCGCGTTTATGTGGACTCTCTCTCTCTCTCTCTCTCTCTCTCTCTCTCTCTCTCTCTCTCTCTCTCTCACACACCACACACCACACACACCACACACACACACAACACACAATTGGCGCTGACCAGGTGGTAAAAATGCGGGGGAGGCTGTGGTGGTGATGAAATGAGGAGGGATGTTGGCGGGGCGCGCACAATCATAGTGGGCCATCCTGCGCCACGCTCGCCCTGCAGAGGCCGGACGCCTCCGAACGGATGCTGTCTCTCTCGCACCGACGGAGCGTCCCACCGCAGCGGTGCGAGAGAGACGCCGGACAGTGTGGTGGCGGGGTGCCGGTCGCGTTAACTCATCATTTACCTCGGGCCGGGCTGGCCGGGCTACTGCTGGACGTGAGCTCAGGAACAGGGGGCAGGCTGAGCGGGGTGATGCGTCAGCGTGGCCGGCCAGCGGGGGCAGCGGGGGCAGCCTCACAGTGTAGGGGAGCGGCAACGCGGCCGAGCTTTTTATGAGGGCCCTAAGCTGCGGACTTATGCCCCGCTAAAGGTCCACGCCACGCCGATCCACCACCGGCCGGGCTGGAGTCCACCCCGAGTCCACCCCACTGCCCTGCTCGCCCTGCCCGCCCCACTGCAAAAAGCCTGACGAACTCGCCCTGTGTCACACTGCCACACTGTCGCAGTGTCGTGGCAACGCGTGGCAAGCGCAGGGGGCGTCACCAAAAATACACCGAGAATTTCACAGTGGGTTCGACTACCGGCTACCCCGTTTTTGCTGTCCGTTTGCGAACGTAGTGACGGCGTGGTGGTCGTGGCTGGCCGCTGCCCCGTCTGTCTGGCCAGCAGGCTCGAGCCGGACTCTGCCTCTCTCGCTCTCATGGGACGTCCCGTCTAGTCCCGTCGGGGTGCGAGAGAGACAGAGCGACAGATCTGAAGCAGCCCGCCGCCAACGGCGCCAACGCGGACGGTCGCGTGAGAGGGAATCCCTCGCATAGAGATTGCCGCTGTCAGAATGCTTTTATGCGCGCGGTGTAGGAGGACTGGCGGGGCGTGGCGGGGCGTGCCACTGTCACGGAGGGCGGCAGGCGTGGGCGGCCGTCACAAGTCGGACAGGACACCCCACTGGAGGCAGCGCGGCAGCATGGCGATGGCGAGGCATCCAAATGTGCTTCCCTTGTAACGAAGCTAATTATTAAACAGCGGCGCCGGGCCGGGTGGCCGAGCCCCGCCATCCAGGCTTTCCAGGCTTTCCAGGCTTTCCAGGCTCTCCAGGCTTTCCAGGCTCTCCAGGCTTTCCAGTCTCTCCAGGCTCTCCAGGCCTGGGCCGACCGTGGCCGTCGCTGGCGAGGGCCTAGCGCCACACAAGGCACCCTTCAGGGCACCCTTCAGGGCACCGCACTGCAAGCGGCCGAGACGCGAGACGCTCGCTTGAAACGGCAAACGGCCAGCGAGGCAATTAGGAAGCGGCTTGGCTTTTTCGAGCGCCGCGCTCCGATTCCGAACAGTGTGCCCCGTCGCTCTGTCTCTCTCGCACCCCGACGGCACGGCCCAAGGCGAGGGAGACAGAGCGACGCGGGCGCTGTTCCGAGTCCGTCCACTGTGCCAGCCGACTGTGCCCCTCTAGTGTTAGTACCGCCCGGCAGTTCGGCGGGGCGGCCCGCGTCGCAATAGAAAACGCGCCGCAATCCAGTATGACACGGGTTGATCCCGGGGCTGGCGGAGCAAGCGGAGCAAGCGGAGCAAGTGGAGCAGTCCCCCGGCCTGCCGGCCTGCCGGCCTCCCCCTGCCAGACGGTCCACTTGGCCCAGAGGCGCCCCGCCCCCGCCCGCCCCACCAGGACACAGACCCCGGTTTATCGCTAAATGCTGTAATTTCCCGGGTGACCGCGGGAGTGGCGGCTGGCTGGCTGGCTGGCTGGCTGGCTGGGTCGGCTCGTGTCTCGCTGGCCGGGCCTAGCCGGGCCCTATTGTGCGAGCCCCTGAGGGGGTTCCAGGGGCGGCTCGCTCGGTTCAACGTTCGGCCGTCGGAGTAGCGTTCGCTGTCACCGCTGTCGCCTTACGTGTGGCCGAGCTGCTGGACGCGCGAGTGCCGTGCCGGTGGCGGTTTGTTCGTTCATTCAGACCGTTCTGGCAGCCGCGATCTTTATTTGGCACATTTTTGCCACTTTAACAGGCTTTGAAACGCGCCCGGGGCGTCTTCGTCATCCGCGCGCTGCACTCCGTGACGCAGTGACGCACGCAGTGGCGATGACGTCACGGCCAGACGACAACACGAGCGGCCTCGACCTGGTGGCGTCCCTGCCGGCGTACCGGTACCGGTACCGCCGAGCAACCGGCTCGCCGAGGGTTCCCCGACCCGACCTGCCCTGCGTCGCGCGCTGCACGCCGCACGCCACCGCAGTGCGAGGCGCGAGGACGGTTCTAGACGCGCTCGCTGAACGTTCTGGAAGGAGAAAGACGCGGACCCTGGTCAAGGCGGGGAGGGGCGTGGCGCGGCGTGAGGTTGTGTTGACGCGCGGCTACTCGGCAGCTCGCCACACGCGTCCGCGGCCATGGCGGGGCCCTCCATGGTGCATGCGGTGGCAGTCACGTCGGCGTGCCCGCGTCGAGCTCCCACACTGACTGGCAGGCAGCCAGGCAGGCAACCAAGTAGGCAACCAGGCAGGCAACCAGGTAGACAACCAGGTTGGCAACCGGGCAGAAAGTCCTGCCTGTTCAACCACGTGGTCCGTGGTGCGCGTGGTGCCGGTGACTACTACCAGTGACGTGCCGGCACTTTCCCGCCAGGGCGTTGCACCCGCCGTGCAAATAGGCACACCTGAGTAACGGCACGCACACACGCACAGACGCACACACACTCGTGGATTCGAACAAACGAGGAAAAGGACTGCAGACGGAAGCGTGCGGCCGGGCGGCCACCTCGGTGAACGCGCGAGCACTGTCGAAACCTCGCCGCCGCTTCAGCGTTCCAGCCTCTAGCCGCCGTCCTGCTGCTGGCCGTGCTGGCCGTGCTGGCCCTGCTGGCTCTGGGCGTAAGTGGGTCTCCGTTCTGGAGCGTTCTGGAACGACTGCTCTATTCTGCCGGTCGCCGATGGAGGGCGCTGCAGGGCCGTGATGGTTCGGATGGGCCGGGCCGGGCCGCCGAGGTCACGGTGCGCCGCAGCACGCCGCAGAGATAGCGCTGCTGCAGGTGGGCTTGGCGCGGCGCGGCGGCCGCTGGTTTGTTTGGAATCTAAAAATGTCGGCTATCTGACTCACGAAGCGTCTGGATCGGCGGGCGGCGGGCTTCCCCGGGGCCCTGCTGGCCCTGCTGGCCCTGCTCAGCTGGCGGCGCACGCCGAGGCCCCGCGAGGCCCCCGTCAACAGCGAGACGCCGGCCGGCCTGGATCGCCGACCCGGCCTGCCTGGCCTGCCCAGCCACTCGGCCACGCAGCCAGGCCCCCACCCACCGGGCTTATATAAAGACAGTGCAGCCCGGAGCGGGTACCCAGTCCCAGACCCCCAGCGTCACAGACCAGACACCCCTGCACTTCGCTGCATTCTGCCGCTCTTCGCTGCATTCTGCCGCACTTCGCCGCTCCCTATCCACATTAGCCCCGTTCAACCAGTAAGGTACTAACAATCAAACGTCGCTCGCTTGAACTGAATCGTTTATCAACTACCAATCTGGACCGTGTGGGAGGGCAAGGTGACGATAGTACCGTCTGATCTCCCGTGAAGTGGCGCTGTGTGCATGGGTTCGAGCCCCACCCGGGGCACCCGTTTTTCCTCCTTTTGTCCTGTCGTACTTCACCACGTGGTTCTTCTTCTCCGCCAGGATGGCTGTCCGCGCCCTGCTCGTCGTGCTGGCGGTGGCCTGCCTGGCGTGCTCGCTGGCGGCGCCGCTGTTGGACGTGACGAGCGCCTGCCGCTGCACCCGGGAGTTCAACGCCGTGTGCGGCACCGACGGCCAGACCTACTCCAACAAGTGCCTGCTCGAGTGCGCGCGCGCGCAGGGCAGCTCCCGGATGGGCCAAGGTGAGTGTGAGCGACACTGTTTCACTCATTCGACTTTCAATCTACAGGCTTACCTATAGGTTAGGTAAGGTTAGGTTAGGTTAGGCGCGGGCGACTTAGTCGCTCAGTTTCTGGGCACCACCTTGTCTCAGTGTAGTGATTATTAGCTGTGCAGACGACTGACAACTATCAGAATTTTGGAAAATCAGCCTAGGGCAATAGGTGGGTGAGTGTTGGCCTCTAGGGCTGTTCTGAATTTAATATTAAAATTTTATAAATTTTAATAAAAATTAATGTCAAAAATAATCTTTTGGAGTTTACTATTCCGTAGGCCTATAGCTTTTACGGAAAACTGATAATTTTGAAGCTCAAGACTGACTTTTCATTTTTTTCGTCTTTGCGTTGCAGCTCTGTCGCTAGCCAAGTACGGACCGTGCTAGGAAATGCCTGCCGCCGCACTGCGCCACGCCACGCCACGCCTCCCAGTGCGTGCGGCCACAGACATCGCCCCGCCGAACGAGCAACGAGCCCGGTGATCCACTGCCGAGTCGGTGGCACGAGTGAAACGGAGTGAAGGCCACAGCGTGTGCGGCCTACCAAATCATGAGTGTACCTTGATTAAATGTAAAATACTGTACCGTAGTAAGCGAATCAAGACTGACTTTTAGTGTAAGAGAACCGTTACGTTCGTTCTCTTTTCGTGATCTGTGTATAAATGTTCTAATTTATGTAGAGTGTAATTAATTTATTTGCGAATCGAATAAACAGCGGGGAAAGCTGCCAGTAAGTCGTTCGTTTTCCTTTCGCATTTTTCCTAGCTGCCCCAGAAAGGTAGGCAACCAACCGCCCACAGACTCTTCACCGCACTAGAACACAACTAGCGTCACGGAAAAAGTCATTTTCACACCAAATAGAATGCGTCAAAGACCATTGGGCACCGGACATCTGTTTCTTAGACCCATAGCAACGTTTCATATGAATTTCAGACCAATATGCAATGGTCGATTATTTCCGTTTTTGGGCAAAAAATTTAAAATGGCCCAAACTCGAGTATGTGGTGCTGGAGGACTCCCTCATGACTTCTGACACTATTTCGAGGCCCATTTCGGCCCTAAGCAGCCTTTTTCTGGCGAAAACATGGAATGCTGTGGGCATGCGCCGCGTAGGTAGGCAGCCCACCGTCCTCAGCCTCGCCTCCAGGCACTGCAGGCGGCCGCAGCACGCCGCGTGACGTCACCGCCTCGAGTCGTTCTGTCGACGCCGCCGCGTCGCTACTCCGAGCACGAGGGGCTGCACTCGCCTCGCCACCATGCGCGGAGCGCGGAGTAGCGACGACAGACGTACGAGGGGCTGCCTGCCCACACGGCGCATGACGCGCCGTTGTCTCGTCTAGCCTGTCTGGCCCTGAGCCATTACTCGTGGAAGCTACGAGTTACTTGGGTTGGAAATAAAAGGGGCACACATTGGCTTAGCTTTCACTCCTTTAATCGCTTTCGTTCCTTACTTTACGCAATAAAACTGTACAACACAGAAGCTAATGAAATCAAAAATATAATTTTGAAATATTTCTTCAGGTATTTATATCTTACAGAATAAATAATACATAAAACACATCGTATGGACACACCTTCTATAGATTTTTTTTTACAGAATTTCAAGGAAATGAGTAAAACAAATGGAGAACTAGGGAAGAAATTCAATGTTGCAGAAACATGGCACAACTGGAACATGAAACGAGAATGTTCGATAAAGTGAACAGACTTTGACATACAAAGTCCCAGAAATCAAGCCACATCAGCAAAACTTACAGTAAAATAGACAAAACACTAGAATATTGACTTCTACAGTGGAGAAAACAATACTTTTGACCAGCAACACTTTTCTTAAAACAGTCATTTTCACACGGAAACAAGAATAAAACAGAAGTTCAGATAAAATTAAGAATTTCAACAGGAGGAAATGCTATTAAATTTGCCACTAAACGAATTCAAGTAATGGACTTCTCAAAAAGTCATCATTGCATCAAACTCAACCATACAACAAGTTTTAAGATGTATAAGAATATTGGATAGCAGGATTCAAACATCAACTGTGATATTTGCAGCATTACAAACCTACAATCACTTTTTAAAGGTGTTTACATGACGTGCTCACAATGGTGAAGACATCAGAACGGCAATTACATGGCACAATAAATAAATAAGCTTTGAGCTAAGCTAATAATATGCCAGTATTGCAACAAAAAGGATTGAACAAATTTCTATAAAATTTAGAGTTTTTGTGACAAATGGAAATGGCAAACAGGGGGACCTGATAAATTTAAGTATCACATCAAAACTACCAACAATATTCCTTTCAAAATAAGCTTCTGTTTGTTTCTTTCGATGAAACAAAAATTTAACATGACAATGAAAGGGGCATAATTAATGCTTAAAGCTTTAACAACCAGAAAAAATACACAACACAACTTTGAATGCTGCTCAGGAAGCACGCATCTTCAACAGTTTAAGAAAGACAACTTCCGTATACATGTAAAACAATTTAGCTTAAATGGATACAATGAATACATTCAGTGCTCTAAATCAGTTACAACCTTCAACAATTTAACATGAAAGAACATAATAAAATTGAACGAATTCAACAAAGTCCCAGCTAAGTGCTTGCAGCATACAGCATTCTATGATTTGAGGCAGATTGACAAATTGCCAGAACATCAACTATTACAATACATCTACACATCTTTGAAGGTAACTAATGAAGAATTTGGCAACACAAGTTATTCAGTGACTAAGAAAATTGTAGAATACGCTAGTGTTAAATGAGCATAAAATTACGAGTTAAAAATGAAGCTGAAATCCATTATTGTAACAAGGATAGTTGAAAGTAAGACTAGATGATAAATCCAATGGAATGTATGTCTTCAAAGTAAGAGTAACTTGATTAGGTGTTATCATAAAATAATAAAAGACAACCATCAACATCAACTTTAGACTACAACACGTAGACAAGACAAACCTGGCACTATCTTAAATAAAGATAAGTATTTTGGAAATCTGCCACAACTCAAAGAACATTAAGTCGAAATGTTTCTCGCCACTGCTGCAGAACATTAAATCAAAAAGTAAGATTCAGAAAACTGCAAATGTCTTCATTTTTCACTCTTATAAAAATTCAAAACAATCTGTACCACCCTATAACACATTAATGTAATTTTTTTTAGTGAAACTAAATTTGTGTTCTTTAAAATGACAATAAAAGAAAAAAATAGATAAAGTAAAAGTGTTAAAAATAGCCACATAAGTCAACCATGTAGATAACAGACACAGAATTAAGTATACACTATGTTTTCAATCACTCTCCACTGACACTTGTCATCACTATAAACTGCTTACAAACTGCCCGCACACTTAAAACTCCACTCGTCACTTTACAAACAAACTCGCAGCAGTCGTTCGTACTTTCTTTATCTTATCAGAGTGAAGACCCACACTCACACATCAACCACACATCACATATCCCTGCAAAATCTTCATATTTAAATCCTACCCTTCAGTCTGAACATTACTTGATGGTAAGAGGCAGTAGGTAGCATTGATGAGATCCAGCACGCAACAATTGCAATTTCTTTAACAGAATAAATGTAACCAAGCTTAATCAACTATATGTTAACATGTTAACAACAGCAATATTGGGCTGCACATTAACAGACTGAGCTACTCAAAATTTTGCCACTTCTTCCAAAAGGCCAACAGCCATTTTGTTCAATTAGGTGAAAAGAAGAATGATACACTTATAATTTTCTATTTCTTGCTAAAAGTAAATAGGTAGTAAATAATGACTGGTGGAACTGGGCTGAGGGCAGTTACGGCCATAAATAGCAGTTCCAATTAATTTTCTTTGTGGAATGGCAGCTCACTTAACTGTAGCCAATGGCTTGTGCTACTCCATTAACAGTCTTGGATGTGAGGATGTCATTTTCATAAGTCACCACAGTCTCCTTCCCATTTTCTACAACCCTACAAGAGAAACATAAAATTTAAGTTACAATGAAAGTTATATACATTTTCATTTTGTTTGACAAACAAGATAAATTAATGATGTCAGACTTACTTCTTTGTGGTGATTTTTTTCCCATTGATGAACCTTGTTGAGGTTGATGTCTGCTTAGTAGGAACACCATTACCCATGCTAGAAAATGCTGTGGTGAATGATGTGTAGGAACCACCCAGTGGGTTTCCCCCAGGCACCATTCCATCCATTCCCATGCCAAATAGGCTGAATGGGTCGAAGAAAGGTCTCAATGAGTGACTTGATGGGTGAGAGTTGCGGTGATGTCCATTTCTTGAGCGATGGTGTGAATGTCCATTCATGCCTACATAAAAGACAAAACAGAATAAGTTTAGTTTTTCAACAATTGTCAGTAAAACACGCCAATAAGCGGGAATCAAAAAAATGTTATCTTACCGCCAAAACCAGCAAAAGGAGAGTCACCAAAGAATTCCCTGAACACATCCTCAGGATCCCGGAATATGAATGGGAAAGAATTAAAGACATCAAACTCTTCTTCATGGTGCCTTGGCCGCCGGGGTCTATCATTAGCAAACAGACCATCTTTGCCATACTGGTCATACACTCGGCGTTTCTTTTCTGAAAGAAAAGAATAAAAGATTTAGTGAAGATGCATATTTTGACACACCTGGTGAATCTATTCAGTTACTTTACAGTACTGTAAAAGTTTCGTGCAACTGATGAGCATCATGTAATTAAACAAAACAAAACCAAACCACATATTGGTCTGAGGATTATAGATTATTCAGCAAGTAAAGCAGATATATAAACAAAAATATTCAAAATACACTTCTAATTAATTTTAAATAAAAACATGGGTATGATTTAAAAAAAAAAACACAACAAAGATAGAGAGAAAACAGAAAACAACAACCAAGACAGTAATTATTATATCTGGTGTCTGCTCTGGATCTAGACAGAGTGTACTTTTAACTGATTAAAAACCTGTTAAAACCATGCTTTAAAAGTTACACTGATAAAAATGAAGGAAAGGCAAAGATTCCAAACGACACACATCACACAAGAACATTGCACAATATACCAAAGAAACGGTGGAAGGGTGACTCAAAATAGTTTCGGAAAGCTGCAAAAGGACGAGCGGAAGGCTTGGCAGTTGGGATCGGCCTTTCAGCTGATCTCAAACGCCTGTCGTAAATTTTCCTCTTAGAGTCTGTGAGTGCCAGAAACAAATTTTGGTTACCAAAAAAAATATGAAACAAAAATAGAAGAGTGTTGGAGAAAGTTATTTTTCCCTATTTTACACGGCACTAGCTTCAGAAATTGATGAAGCATGTCAAATGTTTCTCAATGCTCATGATAGTGTTTGGCAGTACACAGTGGAAAGTGACTTTTTTTCTTAGAAAACATCCTAGAGGAATTTCACAGAGTTAATTAAAGAAGAGTCCAACTCACCATCAGACAATACTTCATAAGCTTCTGATATTTCTTTAAATCTGCGCCCAGCCTCCTCTGGATTGTCTAAATTCTTGTCTGGATGCCATTTCAATGCCAGTTTACGATATCTAAAAACAAAGGAAAATTGGAATGCTGTTTGTAAACAAACACTTAACACTTAAAATAAAATAAAATGTCAAGAGGCAACTTACGCTTTCTTAATCTCTGCATTTGACGCTGTTCGTGGCACCTCCAAAATGCGGTAGTAGTCAACCATTGTGTCTGCCAAGCTCGATCAATGGACCACTGAAAACAGACAAAAGAACAAAATACAATTAGTAACACTCAAAAGTGGCCAGAGTCTACACCATCAAAGTAAACTGAACGCTGAGGGACCAAGAAATGGGTCGAAATGTGGACACCAGAACTTATGCAACTGGGTCACCATGGATGTCAACAAAGACATGTCCTCCATGGCACCCCTCCCCACGGCCCCTCAGCAGAGCAGAAAGTGCACCCCTCCCGAGTCAAATTCTGCAACCGGCTACGCAACGCACAACGCACCCGCCAGGCCCGCTACGCGACACTCCTACACTATGACGCGAGGGTACGACGACCCGCCAAACGCCCACACTGTCGGGCGACGGCAATGACGGCGCTGGCAGGAAGATAACAATCGATAGCAACATAACCTCAAAGAGTGACAGCGTAAACCACCCCTTGGCCGTGGCCGCGACGCAGGGCAGGCCTCCGCGGTGGGGCAGGCGACTTACGGTGTGGCGGGCTGACGGCGAGGGCGGGCCGCCAACGCACGGGGAATTTGGCAGCCGAAGTCGAATCGCCGGAACGGGGAAACAAAAACGTCAACGCGGAAGAGGGAGACGGGCTGCCACCGCCGTAACCGCCCTCTGTTGGTGTGCCCGCGCAGCGCAGCTAAGCGCAGCGCCACCCCGCGCCCGCGCCGTACCGCGCCACTGGGCACGCGGAGGGGAGGGGGAAGGGGAGGGTGCTTCCCCTTCCCGTTCCCGCCAAACCCGCTGCCCTGCCCTGCCCTGCCCTGCCCCTGCCGCACCGCTTGCTTGTCTTGGCGTATCAGTTACGAACCGGGCAGGACTTCCAACACCTGTCTGGTCTGCCGGGCGGGACCGAGGCCGGGGCCGGGACGGGGAGCGTCAGCCGTCAGAGCGTTTTGCAGAAAAGGGGAAGAGCGGAGGGGGGCCGGCAGGGCAGGGCAGCCCACGGCCCTTCGGGGGCCTCCCTCGGGGTGCACCCCGCCATGGCGTCGCACTGGTGGCACGCGTCCTGATGCACGAGTCTAAAGTCAAAGTCGAGTCCCCCGCCGACCGCTAAGTGAGCGGCGCTCGGTGATTGACGTGGAGCGACGAGGCCGACCGATCGATGTGTTGTTGTCCTCGTCGCACGCTAGACTCGCTCCCTCCAGAATCTTCCCTTGCGTGCAGGGGTGCACGGGCGCTGCTAGCTTGGCCGCTTCGCCGCTTCGCCGCTTCGCTGCGACAGGCACGGGCTGGCGCAGGCTGGCGCAGTGCCGCCCTCGGCCTGATGGCCTGGCAGGTGGTTGTGCAAGCCGTGCCGGCCGTGGCATGCGTCTGGCAGGGCCTGGCCCTGGCAGTCTGGCAGGATAACACCCTCACCCCGAGCAGCCCCGCGCAGCCCCGCGCCGAGCGTCGCTCTGTCTCTCTCGCGCGCCCATAAGAGCCCTGCAGTGCGAGAGAGACTGTCGGAATCGGTCTGCAGCGGGCAGGTGGAGCGCGGCGACAATGGTGACAATGACTCAAAGGGACACGTTACCCAACGACCTCGTTGGAGGATAGCAGGCAGCCCTGCCCCGTCCAGTAGTCGGCGTCGGCAGGGCCCTCCGTCCCGGCGCACCGCGGCGGTCCCGGCCGGCGGCAGGGAGGTCGAGTGCACCTCGCCTCGCGACGTGCTCGTCGGCGTGCTCGCGGACGTGGACGTGGAAGCACACCGGCTGTACGTGCGTCACGAGCCGCGGGCGGACGGTAAGTGAGCCTGAGAGGGAAGTCAAAGGGGGGCCGCCGGCCCGGCCAGCCCGGCCAGCCGAGGCCCCCGTGGGGCTCGCGCACCGCGCCGTGCCGTGCCGTGCCGCGCCGTGCCACGCCGTTGGAGAAGGTCCGGGTGGCCGGCGACTTCGCAAACTGGTCCACTGACCCCTCATTGCGCCACAGCACGCAAACCACAAAAAAGTACTAGCTAAAAAGAAGATTTTACTTTGCAATTTTATTTGAAAAAGTTTTTAAGAAAACGACTCTAAAAACGAACACCGAGTTTGATTCTGGACTGGCACTGTGGTCTGGTCGCTCTGTCTCTGTTGCCTCCACGAGGGACATGGCTGGCTCTGCGTCCCATGGTCGGGGGTGCAAGGGAAGGAACGACGCTGCTTCGCCGCCAAGTCGTCACGCACCAACGGGACAAAGCGGTGCGAAGCGGTGCGAAGCGTGTTCGTGTTCCAATCCCGAGCCGAGGCGCCAAAGTCCCCCTCCCCTCCCCCCGCGACATCGTGCTTCTTCTTTTTTTGCGGTGCACTAGACTAAACGCTTGGCGGGAACGGCGGCGGACGGCACGACGAACGCCGGCACTCGAAAGCCACAGCCGTGGCAGCCACGCCGCGGAGGAAGAGGGACTTCGACGTCCAAATTGGTCAAGACGGGACGGGACGCCCGCTCGCTCATCCGGCCGACGCGGCCGACGCCAGCGGCAGGCTCACTGTCTCTGTCGCACTCGCGCGGCGTCCCGTGCGGGTGCGAGAGAGACCGAGACACTTCGCGGAGTCGTTCGGCCCGGCCGGGCCGGGCCGGCGGCAGGTCGCCTCAATCCATGTCAAGCCGCCGCGCTCCGGGACGCTCCGGGACACTCCGCGACGGACGGCGTCGTGGGCGAAAAGCGTCAATAAACGCCACCCCCCCCCCTCCTTCGTCCGAGACACGTCAAGCAAAAGCCCCTTCCCGGGCGCGCACCCCAGCCGCGCGAACGTTCACCCCGGCAAGAACAAGAAGCACACGCGGAAGTAGCCGTCGCCGTGCTGGGCAGTGGCGGGCTGGCGGTCGGTGGTCAGCCGGCCGAACCTCGAGGCCCTCAACCCCGCCGCCCCGCGCCGCCCCGCGCCGCCCCGGGCCCCCGGGGGTGTTCGACCACTGATTTGACTGCGGCACGAAGGCTCCAAGGGCTGCCGGGGGGAGCAGGCTAATGCTCCTCGAGGCCTCGAAGTAGTGCGCGGGCCCCGCGGGGCGCCGCGGGGTCAACGGACAAGGCGTTTGTTGTGGCGCTGCGACGCGCTGCGAAGTGTTGCGACTGGGTGCGCAACTCTCGCAATGCGTTCGAAGTTCGAACGCCGCCACGACGGGGTGGGAAAAGTGTGGTTGCTAGGCGCGGCTGAGCAAGGGCATCGCGGACGCCGCTACACTATCGGGGATGCATTTGCTGCACAGATAGGGGTGGCGAACGCGACCCCTTCTTCGCGAGCAGGAGGAGGCGAAACAGCGCACGCAACGCACATGACATGACGTGACATGACCCACATTTCCGACTACTCATCGCCGCTTTCCGCCGCTTTCACCGAAAAACAACAACAACAACAAAAGTGGCATTCCCACGATGCGTCACTGCAGCGGGAGGGCGGCTTGCTGTCGCGGCGGACAAAGTCCAGGCACGGCCCGGCAGTGGGCGAGGTGGTCGACGCGTTTTCACGCTCCACGCCACTGCAAGCCGGACACGCTGGGGCAGGCCTGGCTGGAGGCAGCTGGAGGCACCCACACGCCTGCAGAGACAGGTCGCGCCACTCACCCACAACAACAACAACACCACCGCGACGACGGCCCGCCCGAGGAAGCTCCCGGCTCGGCGACGACGGCGACGACTGGGGCGCTTCTGGTGCACTGCACTGGGGCTCAACACGTTATCGCGGGCCGCCCGCGCTATCGCCTCGCCGGGCCCCGACCATGTGCCGCCAGAGCCGCCGAGCCCTGCCCCCTGCCGGGCCTGCCGCCGGAAGGGAGAGGGGGGACTCCAGCTGACCCCCTACCGCCGCCCCGCCCCGCCCCGCCCCGCCCCGCCCCGCCACAGGGACCCACAGGGCGGAGGCGGCTATCGACCAGCTGCAGCGACGGCGGCGCATTCACGCTGGGCCGTGTGTGTCCGAGAATGACAGGTGCGAAACGGGCCGAAACCGTGTCGCCGTTTGCCGCGGTCACGGCCGTCAGAGAGGGCGACAGAGTGAGAGAGAGAGAGGGGGGGAGAGAGCAGTGCAGCGGCAAGCGCATCTGCCTACCAATCGAGATGACGAAAGCAGAAAGGAGGGGGGGGGGTGCACGTGGGTGGGCGGGCAGCACACTATACGGATTGACAACGGCGTCGGACCTGTACGGGATGTTGAGTGATGGCAGCCTCAGACTCAGAGAGCGGCGGGCGGGTGGCGGGAGTCGGGTCAAGGGGAAGGGGGGAGGGGGGAGGGGGAGGGGGGAGGGGGAAGGGGGGCTGGAGTCGGCGGTCGGGGTCAGGTGGGACGCGCGGGCGACTTTACGGGCATGGGCGTGCTTTGGTACTTGGTCCCAGAAAAGAGCAGAGGAGAGCAAAAGAGAGGAAAATGGTGGGGTTTCGCGTATCCTGCCTGCCGCTTGGAGGCAAGCGCAGTGCCCCTCACTGCCAAGCCACACCGTATCGCAATGACTTTTAACAGACAAGTGAGCCTTGGGCTGGGAGCGGTCAAGCGGTTACCCCTCCCCCCCCCCCTCGCCCGAGCCGATTCAAATCAGAGCACCTCTTTCCCATGCCGGTCGCAAGGACTCGGTCACTCCGGTGGCGTCCGTGCGACCGGCTGGCCGGCCAGCATGTGATGCTGTGACGCGCAGCGGTGCAGCGCTGCCCGTGTCCGTCACGCGTGCGTGCGTCGCTGCGTCGCGTGACCCTCGAGGCGTGACGACGCGTCACCTGCTGCAGCCAGCGTCAGCCTGCGTGCCGTTAAGCCCCGGCAGGTCGTCCGCGCCGTCGTCCACGCCTTGCACTCGGACGGCCGCGGAGGAGGGAATTTAAATTTCCGATTCGGCGGTTGAGTCGAAAGTGGAAGCACGGAGTGGGCCGGGCCGCGCGCTCCAGAGATGAATGAAGACGCCGCAGCTGCTTCCCCTCCCCCCCCCCTCTCTCTCTCTCTCTCACCTCCGCGGGACGACCCACGAGTGCGAGAGAGAACCACTCACTAGCTGGACGGGTTGCGCAAGCGACGCAAGCGACGCGAGCCCCATGGGCCGGCCGGCCGCGCCCTCCTCGCTGACAGG